AAAATCAATCCTTGCACGAAGCTAGGATCGAACACACGAACTTGATCTTTGCAGACGAACTGCAAAAATCAACTTCGCTGTTCTTTCCTATATTCTGTACAATGATTGAAGTTGTGCAATGACTCGATGTTATCATTTTTCTATCTCCTTTTTATTTATATCTAGATCCAGCCCTTATATATGAAAAATGTACAGAAAAAGCTAGCGGTTTTGAAAAATTATTGCCAATATTTCCTCCTACTTTTAATTTAAAAACAATTGATCCAACAATTTCTGGTAAACATTTGTAAATCAATTAGAACAATGAACTTAATGTTGTTGTTTTTCAAATAGGAAAAATGATCGTACTCGATTGTTTATTGGCAGTTATAAAAGCCACAACAAATGATAGAATAGTACTTGTTTCAAATTATACTCAAACATTAGATGTATTTGAAAAATTATGTCATCAAAGACGGTAAACAGTCATATTAAAACACGTTCTTTTTTTCTTTTTACCAGAGAAGACAAGTAATCTGTGAGCCATTGTATGTATGTAATTCTCGAATTTGGCGTTTAGTAAATTTTTAGACTCAATTCTGAAATAGTTTGATCTGCAAAACACGTTCTGATTTTTTGCTTACAAGACACAAAATTTGAGATCTTGAATGTAGATCTGTTCTAAGATGTGTGGAGCTTTTTTTCATTATCAGTATGGAGAATACTGTTCAACTCTTCAAATATGACTAAAATGAGAACAATACAATTACAGACAAGGAGCTGCGCACAGTGGACGTTTTTGACTTAAGCAGACGGATATGTAACTTTTGTGCTCCGAAACGGGTTTCTTTTACTCAGAAATGATTGTATATCTAAAATCATCTTCAAGAAAATAAAGCAATTTTTCAAAAAAATGTTTTTGTTCGAAAATATTTTGTGTCATACACCATCTGACGCAGTTTCACGCGCTGATTCTGAATATCACATTATTTCTTGAATAAAAATGTTTTTTGACGGAGAAAAATGTAAAATATCTGGAAAAAGCTGATCTCGATCTAGGAGAAAAACTGCTATCATCACAGATTCAGGCTATGTCGATACACATTCTACAAAAATTTTCAACGAATTTAGAGCTTCGGAAAATTTCGAAAACTCATTATACTGAACATACATAGCTCTCGGAAAAATCACCTCGTTTGGAAAAAACTCTTTTTCGCAAAAAGACTTGATCTGAAACGAACTTTTTCTTAACCAATAGATACCTAGACGCTTCCTGATTCCAACTAATATGTTTCGAAAATTTAAATGTAATTCAGTTCAATTAAAAGTTGATTTTACATAGAGGTCACGGATGCAGGAGGTATTTTTATCTTGAACATTTTTTACCCACAAATTCCTTGTTCGAAACAAATTTTTACGCCATTATTTAGCCCATCTATTAACGTATATTTGCCACTATTTTAATTTTAAAAAACCATACTTTCGATTGTTTGCTAAATGTCCGCATGGATACCCACTGTGCTGCGTTTTTGTACATATTATCAATTAAAAGTGTTGTTTCATCTCTTATTGAATAGATATCAATTTGTTCGACTTGACGGTTCAATGACAATAAAAAAACGTGGCAAAATTGTTGAAAGTTTTAATAATCCAGACGTAAATTTATACAATTCTGAACTATTTATTCTTTTTTATTCACTTGTCTTTCTTTTTAGAGTTCTGATTTCATATTCATGCTCAGTAGCAAAGCTGGTGGTTGTGGTTTGAATTTAATTGGAGCAAACCGTTTAGTCATGTTTGATCCAGATTGGAATCCGGCCAATGATGATCAAGCAATGGCTCGTGTTTGGAGAGATGGGCAAAAAAAACAATGTTTTATTTATCGACTGGTTTCAGTAAATATTATACTTTGTGACTTTATGACAAACGTATTAAATGGATTTTATTTTCTAGACTGGTACACTCGAAGAAAAAATATTTCAACGACAAGCTCATAAGAAAGCGTTAAGCAGTTGTGTTGTTGATCAAGAAGAAGATGTTGAAAGACATTTTAGTCTTGATGAATTACGCGATTTATTTAAATTAAATGAAACAACAAGAAGTGATACACATGATAAGTAAGAGTGTTAAATTGTCAAGATCTTCGAATGCTTTTCTTTGATTATTTTTGCTTGCTTTTTATAGATTTAAATGTAAACGTTGCTTAAATAATACACAGATAAAACCACCGCCAGAGGACGCCGATTGTAGCTGTGATTTATCACTATGGCATCATTGTTTTGACAAGAAAACTATTGTCGATCAAATATTAAAACAGATATGGAAAGATGATGTTATTTCATTTGCATTTCATCAAAAATCGCATGAACAACGTGTAACGGTATAATAATCAAGAAATTTTCCTATTTCCTCTGTTTTTTTGTACAGCTCTATTTTTTTATCTCGTGTGTGCAGTTTGTCTGTTAATTAGAAAAAATGTATTCAAATTTGAATCTCCAATATTTCTGCTATTCGTCTCTAATTTGATTTCGTTTATTTGTTTTCTATTAATTAATTTATACCTGAAAGATATGCATAGCTTTTTTTTTGTAAAAAGACTTCTGCAACTGAAGAACATTTATAAAATGGTATGAATAATTAAAAAGAATGAAGAGGCTTAGTAACATTAAATTAAAAAGGCTCATAAAATTAACATTGAGACAAATCCAAATAGACAAATGTTCCTTAGGAATTTCAGATATTGACTTCACAGTAGGCATCCAGGCTGACATTTACCGAAAAATCGAAAGTGCGGTTTTTTAAAATTAAAACAGTGGCAAATATACTTTGATAGACGGGCTATATAATGGCGTCAAAATTTTTCTTTCGAACGAGGACTTTCCGGGTAAAGACATGAGTGGACTAATTCGAATTAGAATATAACTCACGAAACAAGAGTCTAATCGTCTAATCTAAATTTTTTGTAACAGTTTCGACTTCGATGAAAGGTTATCAGTCTTAAAGAAAAATCATCTGTGTTCAGAATCAGGGCTGGAATTTCAAGACCTAACTAGATTCTTGACTAAACCATGCTGTTTTCAGACGCAACTCAGGCATATACATATGAACGTTCACTAGTGCTTGATAAAATAAAACCTACACTAGAATGTATGATAGGAAAATGAATGAGCTGATAATGAGTGAGCTCTTCTTGAAAATAGTCAAACTGTCATGAGTTTGTAGATATTCTAATTTCGTCTGTTTATCGTTTCACTCAGTCGACTTTTCAATCTTCCCGAAGGGTAGTTGGTCTCTAGTTCGTCTGTAAGTCGACTGAGTGAAACTCAAGGAGACTTATTGCTTTTCACCCACAAAAAGTCTTCTTTCTTTCTTCTTTAAGCCGACCGAGTGAAACTCGAAGAGGCTTATTCTGTTTCACTACGAAAAATTCTTCTTTAAGTCGAGTGAGTGAAATGATAGGGAGAGTGGGCAGTTTATTATTAAAATAATAAACTGAGAATAGGCTGTTGACCGAGGTCTTTTGCCTTAAAAAATTTGTGTACAAAGACAACAGCTTGTAATGAATGTTTTACTGTTTTTTCCTGTTCTTTTCAATTGTTACCAGATGATGGGCAGCATACTGTTAGAGGTAATTTAATTGCATGTTTGTATCGTACTGTTTCAGCAAATACTTGCATTACTCATGTATTTCCTTCAGTTATGCGCTTGTTTAAATAGTTGTTGTTTGTCTTTTGCAATAATCAAAAATAGTTTCTTGTTGAAGTTGTCGGTCTTGTTGAAAGTCTCAATCCTTTGTTTTGGATTATTTGTAACTTTTCCCAATAGTTTTGATCGACACTCAAAAATATTGGTGATGCGTATGATAATACTGAACGTACAGTGCTTCATATACTGTCAATAATGCTCTTTCTGAATTATCATCGGAGTTTTTTGCTAAATATCTCAACACACCAAGTCTTGTTGAAGCTTTTCTTATTATTTCGTCGATATGTTTGTTAAATCTCATTTGTCGATCAAATACGATTCCTAAGTGTTTCATTGTGTCATGCTGTTGTATTTGTTGACCATTGATTATTATCGATATTGGTACTTTCGATCGGCGTCGTGGATGTTTGGTGAAATGAATCATTTTTGTTTTATTTGCTTGTATTTCCAGCTTCACAATCTACACCATTTCACGAACTCGTCTACCGATTCTTGTAAACGTATTGATAAACTTTTTGTTGTATTAGCACTACTCCAAAGCGCAGTATCATCTGCAAACAAGTTACTGTTGCTATGACTCGGAATGGTGAATAATGAATCACTGGTGAACAATATGTACAATAACGGCAACAAAGGCGAACCTTGGGGCGTTCCGCGTCGCATTGTAAATGTGGTTGATATTGTGTATTTGTATTCAATCAATGCTTTTCGATCAGATAAAAATTGACAAATCCAGATCCATAAGTATTCGGGCACATTCATCTTTTTCAACTTGTGCAATAACCCATTAAACCACACGGAATCAAACGCTCGTTTATTGTCAAAGACGATAAGTGCTGTTTGTTTATTTTTATATAAATTAACATCTACATCATGTTTCAAATGCAATAGATTATCTGTTGTACTTCTTTGTTGTCGGAATCCAGCTTGATAGTTAGGGAGTAAATGATGTTGTTCAGCAAATTCGTTTAACATTTGTTCAACTAGTCTCTCCATTAGCTTATCAAGGCTAATGGGACGGTAAGTGGTGGGATCATTTGGATCTTTGTCTGGTTTTTGTATCAGTATAATATGAGCTAGTTTCCATTGTGGTGGTATGACACCTAGCTTGAGACTACTGTTGAATAACGCTGGTAAATGGTGTGACAAACTTTTAGTATACTTTTTTAAACATTTATTGTGAACACCATCATGACCAACTGCTGTGTTGCCTAATTTCAATATTGACTTTTTCAATTCGTTTTCAGTTATTTTTGGATGTGTGAATGTTTTTATTTTAGTTAATCTATCAATTTCTTGTTTTATTTCTCTATCGATGTCAAAATATTGTATGCAGTTATGGGGTTTGTTGTCATAAACTTCCTCGAAATATGTCTTAAACATGTCCACCTTTTCTTGATCGAATTTTGCTGCTTTGTTTCGATATTTTAGTTCGTGCTTTAACTCTCGATTTGTGCGTTTTCCATGAAATCTGTTTACCACAAACCATAATTGATCACTTCTCATTTTTGGTGTTGATAAGTTTTTATTAAATTTTTGAATTGTATTCGTCTATCATTTGATAATGAATTTCGAACAAGTAGATGAATTTTCTAATATTCATCTTTTAATCGTGTGTTGATAGGATTTTTTTGTAACTGTCTGTAGATCTGATGTTTTTTCTTTATTAAATTTAGTGATTCTTTACTGGGTTTAACAGGTGTGAGACGTTTAAATAATTTCGCCTCTGGTACAGCTAATTGACAAGTACCAGCGATACAATCTGTGATGAACTGACTGTAATCCATAAGTGCTTAGCTGTTATCGACTTCTTTTACTTCTCGTGTGTTCAACCGTCTGTTTAATTCTATGTGATACACAATCCAATTTGCCTGAGAAAAAACGAACTGTTTTCGAGCACATCCTCTTGGTCTATCATCTACCTCACAATATAATCACTCATATTTTCGGTCACTTATATAGATGAATGAGAGCAAAACAAAAGGGTGAATGAAAGCAGAGTCATTAAACCTTATTAAGATCTTAAACGATAAGATCGTAGATTATCTTATCAAAATCTTAAAGGATAAGATAATGTTAAGAAGTGTCTAAGACTTTTACTAAGGTGGGAGCTACTCTTTCGACAGCCAAGAGAAAAATTTTTTACTTTTCATAACTCTGCAGTGACTTTGCCTGTATTTAAAAGTCTTGTTCAGCCTATTCGCACAAAGACTATTTGCAGTTTTCAGGTTTAAAATATTTTTTATTTATGTTATTTGTTTTTTGTTTATCTTACTTGCTTTTTCTTCTGTTTAGATCGTATTGTTCTGCTCTATTTTTAGCTAAATAAAGATATGGATCCCAAGTTATTCTCAACAGCCAGTGTTAAAAACTGGTTATCAAAATTCATGGAACAAGATATTGTGAAGAAATTTGAGGGTCAGTAAATTTTGCTTTACCTGTTTTTTGCGCTGCATGTTTTTTTCTTCCTTTTCCCTCTATGCGTTGTAGGCTTTTTTCTCTCTTTAACGAAGTGAAATGTGCACAGACACATTCCCATCCTTCAGTTTGTGGATTTCGTCCGCTAATGTCATAAGCATTTATGTGCTTTATTTCTTTGAACTTAAGTTCTTTAATGGCAAACACTACGGTTTTAAATTGTTGTTTTTGTACATCTTCAAAAAAGTTTACAGACTTTTACCTTTTACTATCGCCATACAACTCGATATTATTTCTGTGAACCAAAGTTCTCACTCTCCTGTCAACTATGCGGAAGTAATGTCAAACCTTACACTAATTTTAATTCATATAAAACTCATGTACATCGCAAACATCAAGAACTATTAAAGCAGAACTCACAGAGTGGTCAAGAATGAGATATTGATACCGACCGTGACTACTCAGAAAATAACGTTTTATCCAGCTCACAGAATTTGAGTGAGTTAGAGAATTATGCTGATGTAAATATCGATGATAATGATGATTCTACACCAGTTTTTATTCCGTCACTACTACTGACACCATTGTTTGCTTCTGATGAACCGGTCAGTATGGACGATTTACGAAAAATTTACACACGTTTTCTATTGCAATTGAGAGAAGAGTACATTATACAACAACATGTAATTCAACTGATTAGCAATCATATCAGTTCGTTAATCAGTAAGATTTCAAGTTTAATACAACAAGAAGCAAAAAATGTAGGTAACAGAAGAATGTGCCTCTAGAAGGATGAAACTATAGAATGTGCCTCTAGCCTTGGATGAAACTGATTGAAAAACACAATGTGCTTACTACGTGTCGATGGAGGTGCTGTTAGCTCAAATATTGAGTAAAAAAGACATTTTATCGGCAATAGTTCAAAATGTTAATGAACAGAATCAAAGAACTGCATTCGATGATGATCTTATGTATTCATTTCGTGATGGTAAACACGAAAAACATTTGAATGGAAACGATTTACTACTACAATTGTACACCGCCCAAGCGTCAAAAAAAAATCTAGTATCGCCCGATTCATCTAGATTACTAGATTTCTACTCGATTGCAACTACTGTGTAACGACAATGGAAATCTAGTAATTGGGCGATTACTAGATTTTTTCTAGTTGCAACTATCGATTTATCACCCGATAACCGATCGATTTAATTATTACTAGATGCACCTGCAGACGCATCTAGTTAAAAGTCTCTTTTCCAACTAGTAATCTAGGTGGCAACTAGTTGTGTCTCGCTCGATTATAGACGAAATGCATCTAGATTTTTCCCATAGGTGATATTTGCTTGGGCGATGGGATCAGTGTCACTAATCCTCTGGGACCTAAAAAAGATGCATATAAATTAACAGTGGTGTATCATATCTTAGAAGATATTCCAGACATTTATCGAAGTAAATTATCGTCCGTCATATTATTAGCCATTACAAACACTAACTATTTAAACGTAGATGTAAAGCGTAAAAAGTTTTATCTACCTATTATTGATGAATTGAATAAGTTACAGTCTAATGGACTGAATGGACTAAATTCATTCACTCAATACTAGAGCATCTTTTAAATTCACTACAATGTGCGCTGACAATTTGGCGGCATATGAAGTCGGCAACTTTCAAATGAACTTTAATTCCAATATTTTTGTCGCCGTTGTTTAATTCACTATGATATGCGTACAGCACCATTAAGTGATATTTTATTCACGTAGAGAAGTATACGTGCTTTACACTTTTATGAAAATAAATATGTATTAACAGGTATTGAAAATTTTTTTGTATAATTATTATTATCAAAATATGGCGAAACATTATGGTGCAAAATCGCAGTTATGTACAATCCATCTTCATTTACATCTCAAAGTACAACTGTTGAAATATGGTTCATTATCACTAACGTCGTGTTTTCCCCGCGAAGATTATTTGAGAAATTCATTAAAATGGTGTCAAGTTAAAAAATATGTCTTAGAACAATTTATTCCATGGTATTTGGTTGATCGTACATTACGTCGAACTAATGAATTAAGTATTAATGACTTATTTTTCGCCGAGAACTTTGACGAAAGATATTTAAACAACAAAATTATTCAAACGTATGAAGACAAATTAACTGCTTGTCTAATGAAAAAAAATGTCGATCCAACAAGAACAACAATAATTTATTATGCTCGTTATTGTCGTGGTGTTAGAAAATTCCACTGTAGAGCCTATGCACGAAGGGGTGATACTATTAGTTATTATGTATCAATATCAAACCCAACATGTTCAGCACAACGAACAACATACTTTGATGAAGTTTTATATTATTTACAAATGTCTGGAAGTTATTATGCATTAATAAAAAAATATGATTGTATGGAATACTAACTCCACTAGCATGTTTTACTACCTTTTTAGGAGGAGTTCTCTGATTACATCAACGGTTGGACTATAAGTAGCATGCGTATGGTAGGAAAAAATGGACTGGAGAGTATGAAGTTCCTATATTTGCGTACCCATATTTGAGCGCTATCAGATAGTCGTGCTAAAAATTAAATTTTGAAATGCTAAGAGAGTTTTAAATCTACATGCATATGTGACTGTAGTCGCCGTAACCGATCTCCATACTTTTGTTCTACCGGCTGCTACAGTGATCTTCTGGTCATCGTTGTTTATGGTCCTCGAATAACGATCCGGGTAATCGGTTGGAAAGACAAAACAGAGATCATGACTTGCAAAAAATTCAATAACGTCTTTGAGCATCTGCAATTCGCACAAGTAATCATCTTCTAACTGAAACACGATAGTGTCGAATTGTATGTCTGCGTTGTTTTTTGTGTTTTATCATAAATTCCCAGCTTCGCTGGTTTCCGCGAGGAGCCCGTATAATAGTCAATGCAGTCACATAAGATGCATACATTTCTCTGAACCAAGTTTGTAGCCGTGCGTACTCTACCGCTCCATACTTCTCGCTAATTAATACAGACATACGAGTTTTTGCTTGTTGTGCTTTCGATAAATGCTGAAGATTCTTAGATATTAAATATGAAGTAGCTATCGATAACTGAATTCCTCCTTCCGATTTGCGACGAGGAGAATAACGTAGCAGTAAATGAACGTCCTGTAATACAATGTTAGGAAAGTATAATTCTCCATTTAACCGATTTTGACGTAATGGTCCCAACAATCGACTTTTCTGAGTGAAACTCTTGCAATGCTTGTACACATCCTGTTTGTCTATAACTGGTAGTGGCGATTGTCGTCGACGCTGCAGTGTATAAGCAACAGGAAACGAAAGCAGTCCACAAGTTACACTTTTAGACTGAGAATTGTTGGCTGATAGTTCATTGTAAGCTGTGTAAGTCGTCCCAGTAAAAAGATATGCCCGATCCTCAAGATTTCGAAGAAACGGGGATAAAAAAAAGCAAATTCCAAGAATCAGTACTATCAAACAAAATGGCCATAGCCGTCTTGTCGAAATACTTTGATTACTCATAGATACCAACTCAAATTGTGTCAGGCGTCAACTGTCCGAAGTTGACTTGAAGTATAGATTACAGATTTAGATATAATCTATGTTCGACAAATCATTCCATTTATTTATCAGCGTCTTGAAGACTATGAACAAATGCGCAAGATGCTGCTTTGCTTCTAAATCAATTCAAGAAATCGTTCTATGCTTTCTGAGTCTAGTAGTAATTTATTGAAAATCACATGACTAATTTATTCCTTTCAACAATTTTTCAGGAATCGTCAGCGCTAGAACATCATCCTTTCAAGTCAGTTAAATTTACCACCATTATCCTCGCGGAGAAAATCTTCACGTTTAGTTTATTTCTATAAACTTTATCATGCTTGCAGTGCTCTTTCTCATAGCAGTCATACTAGTCGTCTATCCACCCGTCAAACTGAGAGAAACTCACATAACAAACGGGTGAAGCGCAGGAACTTCATCTTAAAATCTGCTTCCGGTTCTTTTGTACCGAAAACTATAGAGGACTGAAACAAATTA